CCTTCTGGAAGCCCTAGCCCAGCCTCTGATACAACAGATGCTGTTTGGGAAGACTGGGAGCAACTGCTATAAATATTGGTGGAGAACTTTCCTGGCACCATTGGCATTGCTCTGCGTGCATAGCTGCTCAGGAAGGAGTTCCCTGCATGTGAGAAAGACAACAGGACTCTTCTTGATCACATAGTTTCTAGCAAGCTCTGATCATTCTGGCTGTCTCAAGAACCTTGCTCCAGACTGCACCACAAGAGAGATTTTCTGTAGCCCACGTCCAGGTTGAAGACATTTCAGAAAACAAGGTATTGGCTGGAGGCGTGGCTCAAGTGGTAGAGTGAAGCTAGAAAGAAGGAAAGAAAGAAAGATGACAGACAAAATACAGACAGAGATAGATGATGAATAGATGGATAATTACAGGTATTGCTGTTGTTTGATGCCTGTCTGCAATATTCAGTGGCAAGATTCTGTTAGGTGACAAAAACACATGTTAGTTTAAAATCCTTGAAGAAGAAATTAAGGAAAATTAATTTCATGAAATATGCTCCATATTGAGTCCTGGGAGTAGCCCGGAAGCTCCATCAGTGGTCTCTCACAAAGCTCACTCCCATCCAATGACTCTGGCTGCTGAGTTCTCTGTTCAAGGTGACATTTTAGCAAAATTCACAAAGGATGGGCCAAAGCCAGCTTGAGAAGAAGGAAGGAAGAGAAAGAGTAAGCTGTCCCTGTGGCCTGGAAGAGATAATGAACTGAAGTCCTGACCAGCTAGGAGAAGACCTGGGAGCTGGTAGCTCATGCCTGTAATTCTATCTACTCAGGAGGCTGAGATCTGAGGATTAAAGTTCAAAGCTAGTCCTGGTAGGAAAATCCAAGAGACTTTTATCTCCAATTAACTACCAGAAAACATGAAGTGGTGCTGTGGCTCAAAGAGGTAGAGCACTAGCCTTGAGCAAAAGCACTCAGGGACAGTACCCAGGTCCTGAGTTCAAGCCCCATGACAAAAAAAAAAAAAAGCATGAAATGAAAAAAAAATAGAAAAAGACTGAACAAAAGCATTTTAGACATCTAAAGCAGGCAAAGAGATAACTTCTGGGTCAAATCATATAGTTTTTGGAGTAAATTCAGGTGTAAAAAAATATAAGCCCAAAGAGTTTTTTAAAGTTCATTTAGTATATGTATTTAATTTCCTATTGCTGTCATAACATTTTTTTTGCAAATTTAGTGGCTTTAAAATAACACAAATTTATCCTCTTGAAATTCTGGAAGCCAGAACCATGAAATCAGTTTCACAGAGAAAAATCAAAGTGTCATCAGGATTCATTCTCTCCAAAGGCTCTAAGCAGAAAATCCTTGTTTGTGCCTTTCAGCTTCTAGTGGCTGTCTGGATCCCTTGGCCTCCAGCCCCTCGTGTTGTTCTGACCTTTGACTATATTCTCTAGTCTCCCTTAACTAGACCAATTATGTCAAGCTCACTCAGACAAGCCAGAAAGTCTCCCTGTCTCAACATCTTTAACCAGTATGAGATCCAAGAAGAAAAAGATTTTCCTGTTTTTTCACTTGACAATCACTCGACACTTCCATGACCCCTGATGTGGGTTTCTCCAGTAATTCTGATAAGGTTCGTGATCAAAGGAATAAGGCTGATACAAAGCAAAAGCTAGGCAAAGCTTTATTTCACGCCAAGCATGGAGAATCAAACTGAGTGGACAGGGCTATCTCTGTGGATAGAGCGACCCCTCCCAGTCTTACAGGCTAGCTTTTATAGGGCAAAACCACAAATCATAAACTAACTGTAAGCATGTAGCTAATCTTACTCCTATTGGTTAAAACAGAAGGGTTACATATGTGCTTTTTACTGATTGGACGCCTCCACCTGACCTGACTCACCTTTGTTTTGGGGGGCTCTATTACTGAGGCAAGCAAGCAAGGTTACAGAAGCAAATCATAGCAAAAACATAGCCTTGAGTCACAAATGCATAGGCAAAAGACAACCTTGACTTGGTCAAAATGACCAATACTATCAATGCTATTGACACTATTACAGAAATGATTGTTATTATAAGCTCCTGACTAATACAGCAACTCAGGGCAGCTGGTGATAAGCCTCAAGGCTGTCAGTAGCCTTCTGCAAGGCTGCCAGCTTGGTAAACTTGACTGAGGGAGAGATGTTCTTTTGCTTTTTAGCAAGGATGGAGAAGGGACAAAGGCTCACTACTGGGGAGTTACTTTGGCTAAACTGGGCCTAACAATTCTCACTGGAAACCAGCTGGATGTCCTCTAATTCAACATGGTTCTCTGTAAGGGAGGTGTAAACACTTGTGGAAAACGATTATAACTAAAACAGCACGGTACTGCCATAGGGCTGGGCCACTGGACCCGTGTGAAGAATGGAGAGACCACACAGCCTGGCTCATATGATTATGGACACTGACCTAGGATGGGGACAGTATTATAGATGAGTGACTCCATGTGAATAATTCAGTAACTGTTCCTGTCATACAGGGAACATTAAGTTGAAATTCTGCCTCAGATCATATGAAGAAATCAATTTTAAGTGCTTGGGAAATTTAAAAGTGAAAGGAAAATATTGTATCAGAGAAAATATGGAATATCTTTATGAGTAGGAATAGGGAAATCACAAAAGGTTTTATTGTGATAGCAAATTAGGTTAATCAGAAAACAGAGAAGAAGGAGGAAGAAGCAGAAGAAGGAGGAGGAGGAAGAGGAGGAGAAGAAAGAGGAGGAGGAGGAAGAAGAAAAGGAGGAGGAGGGAAAATAGTACTTTTTGTGCCGGTACTGAGGCTTGAACTCAGGGCCTTGCATCTCAATTGGCTTATTTTGTTGAAGGCTGGTACTCTATCACTTGAGCCACACCTCTACTTCCAAAAAGATCTTTTTAAAGAAAGGAAGAAAAAGTTCCACACATTGAAAGAAAACATTTTAAATTCATGTAACTGACAAAAGACTGAAATCCATAAAAGACTCCTAAAACCAGTAAGAAATATATAATTCAATGGAAAAATGGGCAAAACTCATGTGAAAAGGAAACTCCATTGTAAACAAATGTATAAAAGATGTTTAACCTCACTAAGAATGAATAGGTGGTGCAAATTGGGTTGAGACTTCATTTTACACTTAAATTGTCAAAAATTGTACCAGACATCTGCATGTTTTATTGGAGGTATCCTCTACATGCCTTGTGGCAATGTGAGTTTGGGGGGTTGGTGGGTGGTATTATGGGTTATTTTCCACCTCACATTCCCATGCTGAAATCCTCAATTCTAAAGAATACGCCTTTATTTAAGACAGAGTCTTTACTGAGGCAATCACGTTTAAAATGAGATCATGATGTTTCTATAGTAAGAGAGACATGGATCCAGGGGCATACATAGAAGGAAGATTATATGACAGACACAGGGGGACGTCACCATCTACAAACAGAAGAACAGAGGTCAGGAACTGATCTATCACAGCCCTTTGAATGAACACTGCCCACATCTTCATTGTGGATTTCTTTTAGCCCCTAGACCTAAATTTCGGTCCCTGGTTCTCTGTTCCAGTGGCCCATCAAATTTAAATAGGTGGGGTGTATTTCTTGTCTTGATTCTGTCTCATTCAGGCCGGGGAGGTTGGGATCTGCTGGGCCTCTCATCCCAACCGCCATCTATCAGGTCAGGGCAAGTTTCATCATCCATCTCCAACTAGTGTGTGAATAAACAAATGAATGACGAGTAATTGGCTTCACTTTGATCTTACCCTCCACTTCAGTTCTACTCTGCAAACCCCTGGTCCTGGACCAGACTCAGAGTAGAAGCTCACCAATGAATACAAACTCTCTATAATTAGGCCTGAGTTCCCATTTCCATTTCGGCATCCTCTTCCTCCAGCTTGACCACAATCTATTTTTTTATTTAAATGCATCTTTTATTCTTATTGTGAAGGTGAAGTACAGAGGGGTTACAGTTACGACATGTTCGGTAATAGTACATTTCTTTTTGAATAACGCCACCCTTTCCCTTGCCCTTTCTGTGTTTCCCTCCAGGCCCCATCCACACGTCGTGTAGTTCATTTTCGACATCGTGTCTAGTGAGGGCCGCTTGCTGCATTTGTTCAATTCTCTGTCCCTCCATTCTGGGCCCCTCCCCTTGTGCTTTCTAAGACAGATGAATGAACACATAAGACAAGAGGACAAGAAAATAAAAACAGCAGCAATGAAGAAAAAAAAAGAATAACAACGACAACCCCAACCCCCTCGTTTCCATCTCCTGGAATTCACTTCCACTAATAGTATTTTCCATGATCAGAGGCACCTCTGCGTTCCCCAGAACACAGCTCCTCCTTGGCCTGCCTGGGTGTGAATGCCTGGAGACCCCCGTCTGAGTGATCAGGACCGGGCTGGGTGTGCAGTGCTCTGCGTGGGATGCGCGCAGGCAGAGGCCCCCACGCGCGGTCCGCCCCACCCCACCCCGAACCCCGC